TGTATGTATGTATGTATGTATGTATGTATGTATATATATATATATAAATAAAAGAAGGAAGAAAAAAACAACAACATAAAGACTGAGTAGAAGCAGGATGAAGCAACCTGTCCCTTCTTACAACTTAATCATACATGATCCCGTTCAACCTTGGAATATGAATATTTACAGTTTTGAATACCTAAAATAAAAGTACTTATATGGTCAAAGTCATTCTATTTAAAAAAATACCTTCATAATTATGCATACATTACACTGAAAATGCCATATTACACTGCCTACAAAAACTAATAACGCAATAATTCTTAAAGTCATTCTAACGTATCAATAACAGTTTATATGTACATTTAACTTTTTTTAATTATTACACATTTTCACTGCTAAATCTACTGTAGATTACTCCACTCTTTACCCCACATACGGAAAACTCAAAAGATAAACAAGTTTATGCCAAATCACCAAATGACCAATTTTATATAGGATGTTTCGACACTTTGGTTTTCAGAAGATTAGACTGAAAATGAGTAAAAAAAATTAGGAGGTTAAGTTTAAAACCTTTGAACAGTAAGTCTTGAACCATATTTATTAACTAGTTATCTAGTACAGTCTGCTCAAAAATATTCCATCACAGATAAAAGAAATGTCTCACACAGGACTGTGATCAGTTATACATCGAGGAAACAAAGCAGCCACTGTTCAAAAGAATGAACCAACACAGAAGAGCAACATCATCAGGCCAGGACTCTGCAGTTTACACTCAGACAGGCCAGTGGTTACTGTTACAGGGATGAAGATGTTCTCATCTTTGATAGAGTTGGTTTGAGAGGAGTAAAGTAATCCATTTTTGTGTCTGTCATCAAACAGGTGTGGAGGCCTTCGTGTCCAGTTGTGCTCTCTTAAAATTCTTTTATTGCAAGTATGACTCAGCCCCCCGTGAAACAGGTGTTAATCAGGGCCCAAATGACAGTCAGGTGATGGGGCACATGACCCTCTGTGAACAATAGGGATAATAATGATTTATTGTTAGGCTGAGGGTCCTCTTTTGCATGTAAACAAACAGTGTTGATTGTCATCGTTAAACCTGTTTGTCCACCATGTGGAGGCAGTGCTTATGAGGCTCCTCAGACTGAAGAAGTCTCTTGGAGGAGAGATGAAACGTTTCATTAAAAAAGGAGCTTACCCAGAGGACCTGCTTAATTTCTTTTTTTTTTAAATGTCTCGCAAACATTTTAAAAGAAAGTGATTTTTTTTCCATATCTTTCGCTGACAGTCCCTGAATACAAAATGGTGTTAAAACCTGCTCCAAGCAAAGAAAATCTCTGGATTCATCCAAATTGCCAACGCAGCAGCTCTTTTGCACAAAAGGCCCACCTGCTGTCAGAGTGCTAAAAGGGCAGCCAGGAGCCCAGAAAAGCCAAGTGCTTATAATAACACAGTTAGCAGCACAGACGGCTCACAGGCCGGCGCTTTATGATGTGATATCAGAGGAATAACACCGGACACTTCCTGTGAGTCTGCGCACAGACAGGGCCAAAGGCAGGGAGAGATGTTACTGATATCTGACTTTGGAGAATAATTCTGGTATTTCTCTAATGTGGCTGCGGTAACTTTGTTGGTACTAAGTAATAAAATATCTAAAACTGATGACAAATTTACCAATCTGTTGCTTTAACAGCTAAAAACCAGATCAAGGTTTTTATAGCGGCTCTTACAATGTTTAATAAGAGGTTACAGTCTCAGTGACAGKTGTGTGCAGACAACTAAATACTGCGGCACGCTTTAGGACAAGTTTAGAGGAAGACTGGGACAAAACAACTGAAACTCTGCATTGCTTTTAATCCTGAAAAGCAAAAACATAATTTCAGTGTTGTTCAAAGTAAAAGTGCAGATATATGTGTGTGTGTGTGTGTGTGTGTGTGTGTGTGTGTGTGTGTGTGTGTGTGTGTGTGTGTGTGTGTGTACGGGTTTTTCCTACAACGTGGGGTATTTTTAACAAAAAAAAGCAGCCAGGTGGGGACCGAAGTGAATCGTGGGGACCATTGTCAGGTCCCCACGGGTCCAAATGCATGTTACAGGTGTGGGGTTAGGTTTAGGACCAATGTCAGGTCCCCACGGGTCCAAATGCATGTTACAGGTGTGGGGTTAGGTTTAGGACCAAGGTTTAGATTAGTTTTAGGGTCAGGTAAGTTTCTGTGAGGTTAATTTTARAGTATATGGTCAGGGTTAGGATATAAAGTCTAAAAAACATGAATGGAAGTCAATGGACGGTCCCCACGGGGTCGAGAAACAAACGTGTATGTGTGTGTGTGTCTGCACAGTCAAAAGAAACTAGGTTACGTTTCCAGGGGAGGAGATTGAGTGTGACACGTGGCACAGGAAGCCCCTGCGTCTGCCTTCAGYGACACCTCCAATGTGAAATGACAGCTTCAGCCCGGACCCTGAACCACACGCCTGCATCAAATTTTCATGAGCAGAGAACAAAGCGTGGCCACAGACATTTGGGAAGTAGGGCACCGTTTGATACGGCACCAGTCTGCTGCTCAGCAGTTTCACATCATGACAGGGAAAAAAAAAAAGAAAAAGAAAAAACAAGGCACTGATTTTAGACTGAAACRAGGCCTGTTTTCACAGCAGCAGAGCAGAAGAGGACAGATTATTTTTTTACAGTGTGCAGTCTGTGTTTAATGCTTGTCTTGGCTCTTTATCTCTGGAGGCAGCACACCAAAGCTTCCAGCCAGGAGCCATATTGTAGCAGTTTCTGTGACTAAAAACTTTGTTTTACCAGTTCCCTCTAAAAGTAAAAAAAGACAGTGATGGAGAGAGGCTGACTTTTTAATGATGGGTTCAGAATAGAATGCTCCCGTCTGAACACAGAGTGTGTTACTGGATGAACAGAGCTGATGAATGACAGGTTTCCTGTCCTTGAAAGTGTGTTAATAGTGTTTATTTACTTTCAGTTAAATGAAAGTGTGTGTGTGTGTGTGTGTGTGTGTGTGTGTGTTAATGGATGCTATTGACAAAACTGCAAAGCTGGGATAATCCTTTCCAACCTTCTCTCTACAGGTTTCAGGATTAGCAGTACGCTGGGAGCTTTCCTTTCCCTCTTCTCTTCTCCGTGTGTTCCCCATCCTCACACTGTTKAACACCATCTGTCTCCACTGACTGAATCATGAGCCGGTGGTCAGATCCTTCCTTTCCCACTCAGAATCACCTTTGCTTGTTGCCATTTGCACCTCCATCTTTCCAGGTTTCTCCTGTTCATTATTTTTCTTCTCACGTCACTAAACCAGCTGCTGATTAAATCAATAGAAAATGATTCATCACAGCAGACTGTTCAGTCAGAAGAGACRATGTAGCTTTAAAGCAGAGAGGATTCTGGGCTCTGACCGTTAGGGCTGCTAAGGAAACTGTCAACTATCACCGCCTGATTGCACACTTCAGTAACAATAAATATTTCATATGTATGGTAATCTGGAAAATGACTAAAAGCATTGGATCAGATAACTCCTTTAAGAAAACGATCAAAGCAAAATTGTAAAAGAAATATGAAATTGTTTAGTTTGTTTTAGTTACTGTTTGAAGAGTTGATTTTTTGTTTTGTTTTATTATTGTTTGAAATATATTTTTAAAAAGAAGCAGATAAGAATTTTTTTCTTCTGCTGCCTTTCATTTAATTTGATTTGTATTGTTTTATTG